AATGCGATGCATTTCCCTCATCTAAGACCTGTGCAACTGTGTTCTCCAGAGGATCAAATAGATGACGAGATTTATTATAGAGTTGGGATTTGTTGGTGGTCTTGTTCGGCCGGGAGCCCCCTGGTTCATTGGGTTAGGTCAAGCATAGGAGAGAACGAAATTCTTTTTGAGGACCTGCAGTGTTAAACATATATATGTGTTTAGTTCTTAGAACAATCTCTTGCAAGTTCAGTGTAGTATCCTTATTTTGTGGATGAGGGAACTGATGGTCAGAGAGAGAGAAGGATTCCCGCAAATTCACATTGTTCAGAAGTGGCAGAATTAGGTTACTTACAGAAGTGACTTTGATTACAAAATTCCAGGTCTGAATGGAACTATGGAAAAGTCAGTGGCATACTCTGTTTTGTTTTATCTTTGAGTAGGGCAAGGTCAAAAAGAAAATTAGACATGAAAGTGAAGTAGTATAGATTTCTTGCTGCTAGTTGGAGCACAACAGAAAGTCTGAAAGCACTGGAATGAGGGGAATATGGAATTTGGGGGTGCAGAGTCTTTTTATTATGTATTTCAGGGTTTCCCATCCAGGAAAATAAAGTTACCAGGTGTTGAGTAGCCTGGGTCTGGGAGCATGAAAGAAATAGAGGCCGTCTAGTCTTTCTAAGACACCTTTGATGGGATTTATATGCACTGAAATGCAGACATAAAATTAAACAGGATAAACCATCTCATTTCCTTCTTTCTCAAGTTGCAATGATACATAAACTAGTCTATTCCCCCTTTTTCCCTTTTACCTCTAACATGGTGAGTAAGCACAAGAAGGCTCTCACGGGGGTAGGAGGCTTTAACTGTGGGGTTGCAGTGGGAAGTGGGGTTGGAGTCAGTGTGGAGACAAGTTTCTTGTTTTTTTTGAATTATTTGTGAGGTGAAGCTAGCTTGTTGGAATGATTCCTGCTAAGTCACAGTTTGAAATTTTGTTTCTTTTTAAAATCTTCGTTTAATATCTCTGTAAGGTAAATCTACGGCCCCCTACCCCCAGCCCTATATATATGTGTGTGTGTCTGTATGTGAGTGTCTGTGTGTGTGTGTCTGATATGAGGATGTGCAAGGGGCACATGAAAGACTAGTGCAGCGCATGACTTGAGAGAAGGGAAAATGGCCAATCAGCATTTGTGACTGGTGATGAGTCTTACATACCATGAGTAGGGAGGCACTACACAGGAAACTTTATTTATTTTTAAAAATACTTATTTATTTACTTACCTACTTGGCATCATCTGGTCTCAGCTGAGCAGGCAGGATCTTCACTTCGTCTTTTGTTACGGCGCATGGACTCTTTAGCTGTAGTCCCCGGCCCCAGAGTGCACGGGCTCAGAAGCTGCAGTGCAGTGCATGGGCTTCGTTGCTCCGCAGCCTGTGGGATCTTAGTTTCCTCAGCAGGGATTGAACTGCTTCTTTTGCATTGCAAGGTGGATTCTTAACCACTGGACCACCAGGGAAGTCCCCACAGGCAGATTTAAACTATGAGTTAATCTCCCACTTTAGTAAGTGTTAGCCAAATGGACAGAGGACTAGTGCTTGGCAAGGTGTGGCTAAATTTGCAAAAGACCCAAATGCAACAGAAAAGAACCATCAAGTTGTTAACTAAAAGGGGAAAAGTTAAAAAAAAAAGGCTATGCAAAGTGTTTGGGGTCATTTTACTAGGAGAACAAGAAGCCTATAATAGGGTAGAAAATGATTCTGAAGTGAATTCATTTCATTTTCTATAAATGTAAGATACTTAGTTCCAAAAACCTAGAAGGAGGTCAGGTAAATGATGTCTGCAATCACACTTTCATTCATATGTTTATCAAACACCTATTTATCTGTAGTCACTGGTTACTGTTGATACTATGGGGAACACGGAGCCGTGGTTTATATGCTAACTGAACTTCAGTCAGTCAGTTCAGTTGCTCAGTCGTATCTGACTCTTTGTGACCCCATAGACTGCAGCATGCCAGGCTTCCCTGTCCATCACCAACTCCTGGAGCTTACTCAAACTCATGTCCATCCAGTCAGTGATGCCATCCAACCATCTCATCCTTTGTCGTCCCCATCTCCTCCCACCTTCAATCTTTCCCAGCATCAGGGTGTTTTCCAATGAGTCAGTTCTTCAAATAAGGTGGCCAAAATATTGGAGTTTCAGCACCAGTCCTTCCAATGACTTACAATCTGGTTAGGGAACTGAGCTTTTTGAACCGAGCTTACAGTCTGGTTAAAGAAGCAACACAGTGTGACAAGTGCACAAACAGAAGCATAAGTGAGACACCAGACTAGGTTTCAGGAGAAACTTCAACAACTGGGTGATCTGGAGAATAACACCTATGATGGTTAGTTTGATGTGTCAACTTGGCGAGGCTATGGCGGGGGTGGTTTAGTTGCTAAATCATGTCTGACTCTTGGGACCTCATGGACTGCCAGGCTCCTCTGTCCATAGGATTCTCCAGGCAACAATACTGGAGTGAGCTGCCATTTCCTCCTCCAGGGGATCTTTCCCACCCAGAGATGGAAGCTGGGTCTCCTGCATTTTGCAGGCAGTCTCTTGCATTGCAGGTGAATTCTTTACAGACTGAGCTACCAGAGAAGTCCCTGGCTAGGCTATATCACCCAGCTATTTCATCAAATACTTGCCTGGGCATTGCTGTGGAGGTATTTTGTAGATATGGTTAACGTCCACAATCAGTAGACTTTAAGGAAAGATCACCCTTGATGATGTGGGTAGGGCGCAACTAAGGTTTCCCAGAAAAGAGGAAATTCAAGACTGAAGCATCAACTCTTGCCTGATTTTCCAGAATTATTCTAGAGATTTCAGACGGACCTGGCAGCCCCCCGTAGTTGTGTGAGCCAAAATAAAATTCACACACATATATCTTATTTGTTCTGTTTCTCTGGAGAACCATGCTGAAGCAGGATCTTAGTCATGTAAAGTTGGCGAGAGGACTGGGGAAGGTGTATGAGGGAAGGTGACCGTATGTACAGAAGCCAGGAATGAGAAAGAGAAGCCAGACCAGGAAGCTTTTTACATGGGACCTAGAGAGTCTGAGAGTGAGAGGATCAGATTCACATTTCGCAAAGGACATCTGATTATTTTATTATTGAAAGCAGAAGTCGAGAACACCGTTTCAGTTCCAGCAGGAAGGAATTCCTAATAAGGGAAATATTTTTAATAGGAGAAAGAAGGAGACAGCCGGCTGAGTCTATTCTGGAATTTAAAAAGTAATTTGGCATCTCAAATGGTTGACGGCCACAGCCTCGCATACAGCGTTCTTTTTACAATCCAGAGCCCTTCCGTTTTACCTTCCCTCCTTCACGTCTATAGCTTTACGCGAGGACATTCTCCGGGTCCCTGGGGGGATGCTCCGCTCTGACCGAGCAGCGGTTCTGGAAGATAAACTCTCTCACAGCGCTGGAGGTGGGAGGGTGCGCAAAGTGGGAAGGAGGATAGAGTTTACAAACCGGCTGAAGTTCCGTTACATCCTGTGTGAGGCGAGAAGGCTCGCCCATCACAGCTGCAGCCGGGCGTCTGCCCGCTTTCTGCCCGCTCTCGTGCGGGTTCGGTTCCCGCCCCCACAATCGCCAGGGGTCCAGCTGCCCCAGCGCGGCGGTCTGCCAGTCTGGGAGGTACCTGCCAAGCTGGGATCCGGGTGCGGAGGTGCGCGCGGAGCACCGAGTTCAGACTGAGGTCCGGGGGTCCCCACCGACCACCTTCGCAACCTGTGTGCCCAGCCAAAGAGGTCTTGCCCTGAGAACCAAATGGATTTTTCTTCCATTTCGTTTGCATCCCTGCATGTCTTCACCCTGGCTCCCGGTGCCTTCCCCATTCTATCGACGTTGTGCGGACAGAAGCTAGTTGCCCAGGTCCAGCACCCTGGAAGACCGGGGGTGGAGGGCGCTGGGGCTTGATAACCCTTTCCCAGGCGCGGGCTGGAAGAAATCAGCATCCTGATTACTGCCCCCCGCTCCAGGGGACGCAGGGGGTACGTTTCTGTACAGCCCTGGTGGGGGAGGGAGGGAGCATGCCCACGTGCTGGAGTCCAGAACCCCGCTCCCCAAAGCTCGGCCCCACACCTTGCAACCCGACCTGGACGGAGACAGGTTGGAGCCGGGTGTACCCGAGAGCGTGAGTGAGGGTGTAGAGAGCGGGGGCAGGGTTAGCGCACAGGTTCGAGAGGACGAGAGGCAGCAGGTGAACCCGAGGGCCGTGCCCGCAGGCGGGGACGCGGATTGAGGGGGGCCTCGGAAGGGCCAGGGGAGACGAGGCGAGGGCTGGGCTCGCAGGGCTGGCGGAGCGGCGAGCCCAGGCGGTGAGACGGCCGGGGAAGGGGGGGCGGGGAGCCCAGGGGGAGGGAGTTCCGAAAGGAGGGAAAGGAGCGAGCCTGGAAGGGAGAGCGGCGGCGGCCGGCCGAGCTGCGAGCTGGAGGGCGCCCGGCGCGCCCAGACCGTGCCACCCCCCCCTTCGCCCCCGGGGCGCCGAGGGCTCTGCCGGGGAGGCGCACAAAGACATGCGAAGCGGGGCTGAGCGAGGCTCGCGCACAAAGACGCCGGGGCGCACGGCCGCTCGGGCTGCACCCACCGCCCCCGCGCCGCGCCGCGCCGGGGCCGGGC